CCCACCCTGCCAGATACTGATATCTCAGTGGGAAGGTTATGGCTTAGAATGTGTGGAAGCACAGTATGGTGAACACCTCACTTTAACAGTTCTACAACTGGCTACTGACCCAGGCCACAGGCACTCAGATGATTTCCAGGCAGGAGAGGACCCAGTAATGTCGGCAATCAAGATTTGGTCCACCTCATGGAGGAGCAGAAGCAGCAGATGGGTATGTGGAATGCAGTGGTCCTCATTGGCCACAAGTTGCAGCACCGCAGCAAATCATGTGACTGTCTGGCTGCCTCCATGGACAAGTTGGTGATTGCCATGGAGAACCAGATCATACCATGTGTCCATCCTCCCAAAGAGACAGCTTGATGCCATGAGACACCCATTGAAGGAGAAACCTCACAGCTCCCTCAGAAATCCCCACTGAGAAAATTCCATGTGTGATCCTTCGAAGCTGAAGCAAGGAGGCTCAACTTGCTTCTGTATTAACCCGCCCCTTGCCATCCATGTTTCTCCACATACCTCCCTTGCAGATTCTGTTGTCCCCTTTCACAGTTGTCAACCTCGTTCCTCCCAGCCTGCAACCCCCAGTCGCGAAATAACCTGCAGAGTTTGGCCCGCCTTGACACCACCCCCCACCCATCATTTTTGGACTGTCTGTTATCTACTCCCCAGACCAAAGAGGCACAGACCCCGACGAAGATCACACCGAGCAGAATGTGGCTATTCCCTGGACTGGTATAGAAAGTTGCCCTTGACTTACAGTGCCAGGACCTTCTGACTGACAAGTGCCTTAATGCGCTTCAGTGAGGACTACTGCCTACAACTCAAGGCAGCACACTGGCTCAGTGGTTAGCACTGCTGCCTCATAGCACCAGGGACCTGGGTTCGATTCCATCCCTGGGCAACTGTCTCTGTGGAGTTTGCACATTCTCCCTGTGTCTCTGTGGGTTTCTGCAGGTTCTCCAGTTTCCTCCCACAGTCCAAAGATGTGCAGGCTAGGTGGATTGGCCGTGCTAAATTATCCACAGTATTCAGGGATATGTGGAGATTAGGTGTGTTAGCCCTGAGAAATGCAAGGTTTTGGGGATAAGGTAAGGGGATGGGTCTGGGTGGGATGCTCTTCATAGGGTCAGTGTAGACTTGTTGGGCTGAATGGCCTGTTTCCACACTGTAGGGATTCTGTTCTGTGGACTTTTGAGTCATGACTGCTTGCTTGCTGCAGATGCAGTGTAAAGCTGCTGGTACATGGTGCAGATATGAGATTGACGTAGCGTACTAACATACAGGATATGTACATCTTTGATTGAGAACTGCTGACCAGCAAGACAAGCTGCCTGATTGTGTGACTGGTGTGGCAAGGCAAGGTATGGATGATGTGATCATGCAGGTAGGCAGTAAGCAACCATGACATGCAGTCTGCACCAATCCTTCAGATAAATGCATATCTGTGCAAAGTGTCCTAGTAGCAACCTCCTGATGCACATCTGTGCTTGTAGAGTACCTGCCAGAGTATTGGAGAGGTGCCATGATGATTGTGAGGATTTGATGAATGCAGGATGCCCACGTCCATGGACAAGGGGTGCCTCTGGCTGGTACCCGTGGATTGTGCCCTGTGTTATATTTTGGTTATTCGCAGCAAGGAGGTCCTCCGAAGCAAGCAACAAGCTGAATCTGTCAGGTACCCTCTCTAGTATCCATATCAAGTCTTCTCGACATCTAGTTTGTTTGGCATGTTTGGTGAGATGGAAAGGTGAATATTAATGAGGTGTTTAACAAACAATAATCCCCTGTGATTGGCAACTTACCATTGTCTAGCAAGAAAATGGCCACACTTCTTGTCAAAAGCATAGAGAAGGAGCAAGATATTCACAATGTGGAGGTGGGCCTTGCCAGATTCCTTGATTTTACCACAAGTCTTGCCGTAGCCCACCTTGTTAAGACCCCCATAGGATTCTTTCCCACATGACCATACCAATACCTGGCGCATTCTCCTGCAGCTGTTTTAATCTCCCTGATCTCAATGGCATTCTCAGAGACTTTCTATTACCTTGTATCCTGCAGGTCATTGCTGAGGAGCGGCTCAATCCTGTGCAAACTAGGTACGACTCCTGTAATTACTAGTCCTGACACAAGAACATTCTCTACATGCACCTGGAAAAGGAAGATGAGCAGATAACCTCCTTCAAACCCTTTTACAGCATCCTGACACTTGCTGGTGGGGCAACAAGGTGCAGAGCTGGATGAACACAGCAGGCCAAGCAGCATCATAGGAGCAGAAAGGCTGACATTTCGGGCCTAGACCCTTCATCAGAAATGGGGGAGGGGAAGGGCGTTCTGAAATAAATAGGGAGAGAGGGGGAGGCGGATAGAAGATGGATAGAGGAGAGGATAGGTGGAGAGGAAACAGACAGGTCAAAGAGGCAGGGATGGAGCCAGTGAAGGTGAGTGTAGGTGGGGAGTTAGAGCCTGCTGTGTTCATCCAGCTCTGCACCTTGTTGTCTCGGATTCTCCAGCAGCTGCAGTTCCTACTATCACTTGCTGGTGGGGAATTTTTTTCTCAGCAATAGCGTTTGACTGGCCCCAGTATCCCTCAGTAACAATGCAGGCTTACTTGTGTCACCCTGGGGAACTGTGCCTCCCTTTGGATACAAAATCCTCGTAATTCTCAGGAATTTCCAATTGGATCCATGCTATCAGCCTCTTAGGCCCACAGTCTCAAATTCCTTCAGAACAATCCCTCTCCTACTTAAATAAAACACCTTTCATCCAATTCATCCCTTTGGCCCAAGTTTTGGCACTCCTCCTAATATTCTTTTCTGTGGCTTAGCATTGATTTTGTCGTATTTTACCACTCCATGGAGCACCTTGACACATTTAACTATATTAAAGGGAATGCATACATGCATGCAGTTGTTGTTGCTGAAGATCTGAGTTTATATTTTATGCATACAAGTGACTGATCTGACACCCCCCAAGAGAAACAAATTCAAGAGTAAGCTATGCTGAGTGCCTCATGAAATACAGTTCATGTTTCTTATTTATTCTATTTACAGCACAAAAAGTCAGTTAAAAATTATTGATCCATTGAGAATTTTATCAAGGTAAAGGTCCAAACACTTATCCTTCGAATCTCTTGCCCCAGAGTGTTCCCTTCTTCTTCTAAAGGTTCATTGCTTTCACCCTAATCCTCCATCCAAAGATGAATGCTGCTGTTGCTCTCCATCCTCCAAATGCAATTGCTTGGTCAAAAAGGATACAGTATACCACTGTGATGTGGGAAACTTCTTGTGGGACGTATTGGTGAACCCAGACCTGTTTAGACCCCTAAATCTCTGTTTCAGTAGCCTTTTGGTGTGCTCAGCAATCACTCTGGTTCACAGTCCCCCTCCCCCCATCTCTATCAACTTTGAAATGCTTGTTGCTTAGTCTTGATAAGGTAACAGATGGTTCTCATGAGCTACATTTGTAGTGTGTGTTCCATTTCCCTCAGCAACTAGATGTTACCTTGGTAGGAGGATTAAATATTAAGACAGTTAAGTATCAAATGTTATACCAGCTGGTTGTTATTTGAGGAATATGTATGATGGTGCTGGCTGGTGCAATGATTACAATTGTTTGTGGTCAATAGTGCACTGGGAAAAAAGAAAAAAGAAACTGCTAAAAATCTCTGAGGTGAGTTGTGTTATCTACTGAGGCATTGGTGACTTTCTTAATGAGCTTGTTAGATATCCCCTTCACAATTGAAAGAACCAATGACAAAGTTAATGGCCACAGTTACTGTCAGCAAGGCATCATCCAGTTCCACTAAACACTTTGCATGTAAAGTTTGAATCATAGAATCCCTATGGAAACAGGCCATTCGGCCCAACAAGTACACACCGTCCCTCTGAAGAGCATCCTGCCCAGACCCATTCCCCTACCCCTGTATTTCCCATGACTAACCCACCTAACCTAAACATCCCTGGGCACTATGGGCAATTTAGCATAGCCAATCCACCTACCCTGCACATCTTTGTGGGAGGAAACTGGAGCAACCCCACGCAGACACAGGGTGAAGGCTGGAATCGAACCCTGGTCCCTGGTGCTGTGAGGCAGTAGTGCTAACCACTGAGCCACAGTGCCACCCTGATACACTGCTCCAGATAAATGCATTAAACTGACTGGCTGTATCCTTTGCCCTGAATGTGGCCTCCTGCAAGCAGTAGCACGGTAACTACTGTGTGCTGAATGCAGTGATGGGGGCTGCTGTGCTCCTTTTCTAACTGTTTATTTACATGAAACTGTTAATAAGAGCATTCATGAGAAGGGGATAGAAGTCCTGAGGTAAATAAGGCAAAGTGAAAATTGTAAAGATGCAATCTGTAAGCTGGAAACAGTGCAATGGCACACAGATATCTGATTCAGTTAGCTGGAGCTCCTTCAAATTCTGCTTTATTACTCTTAAATATCAATACCTAAGGTCTTACCAGCAATTTTGATGAAACTTCCATGAACTAACATTTAAAAAGCTTTGGGGCACTAATTTCAACACAAGATCTCAAGGTATTTACATTTATTCATAAAAAGGTCGCCTGCATCTGGCAAGCACCTTTGCCACCAGCTGTGCCTTTAAAATGGCAGCTGAAACAAATGGAATGGTAATCCCATTGCCACAATTGAATTGTCCACCTAATGGTTTCACCTGGCAGGCAGAATTAAATCAGTTCTTTTTTACAGGCTTTTTTATGCTAGCCATGTATCAATTAAATACCGGATCTACATTCAATAGAATAAAGGTACTTTATTGTTTATTGAACAAATGTATTTAATAATCAGGGCATTTTTGCTGTCTATAAAAGTAAAGATGCCATATCAAGATGAAAGTCTTTATTGGGGAGTGTTAGTTACTGGATTATATCCTTTGGAAGTTCTAACTCTCTTGCTCAAAATGGACCATTTAGCAGGAGTTCCATTGAATGAGTTGCCATCTGTGAAACATTAACCCAAGGACCTCCTTCTCTTTTCAGGCTGGACAATTTGCTTAATATGGCCTATGGCGTAAAGAGGTAATTAAAACTCCATAGACTGCCAGATGTCCATGTTGGCACAGATTATTAATTTGTTTTGACTAACTTCTTTCATTTCTTTCACCAGCATGTCAGACATTTTTTTTTCAGACTTCAGTTCTTTTCGTTCTGTAAAAAAAAACCCATATCTCTTTTGTTTACACACTTCTTTAATTTGCAGGTTGTTCTATTCACTTGATTCAGGTGCAACAGCTGCAAATGATATGGTTCAAAAATGCTGGAGAGCAAGCACATTGGCTACTGGTACTGATTGAGTTTAAAGGATAAGATGACTGCAATAATTTCCTTGTATCATAATCAATGAGAAGCAAATATGCAGCAAACTACCATATAGACACCCTGAATACATCACTTATGCATTACTTTATTGGAAATGTTAGAAATCTTTTCATAAACTTTTCAGCTGTATAAAGAAACTGTGTGCACCTTTATCATAATGTTTGGAATTTGTACAGTTCTGTTCTTTTCCCAGTGTTTCCTGCTTTATTATTAAGGTCAGGTTACATTGTAAATTATTAGGACTTCAAATGCAGCTTGATTTTCTTTTTAAAGACATATTTTTAAAAAGAATTATATATTACTGGAAAGGGTATTAGAACAGATATAATCAGCCTTTGTTTATTTGAAATTCGGTGTAAACTGTTTCTGTCTCATTTGCGATAATTCTGCAATATATATAAATCACACGCAAACCTCAAGGTTAAATATCTGTGTGTAGAAAAGCTGAAATTTGAAGCTTCAACAAAGTTCTTAGAATGACTGCTGCTTTTCAAAAACTTTCTTGAAAAAATATCAAATTGAAAAGTATGAAAATGAAATTATGAACTGTTCTGATCAATGAGAAAAATACACACATAAACCGTAATGAACAGCTTAATATACAATAAAAATCAAGTATTAAAATAATTATGTTAAATGTTCACCTTAATATGTTAAAGACTAATCTAATTTCATATTAGAAGTATATCCAAAATGTCATCTTCATCAACTATAGGTTGATCTAATCTCACAAATATCCAAAGTGTCAGCTTTCTTTGTTTAACAGATTCTCCCCAATCACAATTGATGGCATGACCAGCCTTGTTGGAATGAATATTCCTGGACACACTGGAACAGGCTGGTGTATCTTCGTCTACAACCTTTCGCCTGACTCAGATGAAAGTGTTCTCTGGCAGCTGTTTGGACCATTTGGAGCCGTAAACAATGTCAAGGTCATTCGTGATTTTAGCACAAACAAATGCAAGGGATTTGGGTTTGTCACTATGACAAACTATGATGAAGCAGCCATGGCAATTGCAAGCCTAAATGGATACCGCTTGGGTGATAGAGTTCTGCAAGTATCATTCAAAACCAACAAAACCCACAAGTCTTGAAGTGCAGATGTAGTGTTACATTCATGAACAAATGGAACTTAAAAGGCTTATACTAAAAATGGACTTCATAAGCCAGTGTTGCCTAAGTATTAACATAGGATATCCTGCGATCGAGCAGGAAATGATTTTATAATGCTAGAAGACTTTGATGCATTGAATGTTCTTTCATAGCTGTTGTTGTTCAAAATATTCATAGATAAAATGTGCAGGAGTTTTTACCCAGCCTGCTACTTTTTCTACCTTCTTTGAAGGTGGACCTTTTTAAGTCACCCATTCACATTTAAAAGGTGAAAATACATTTGACAGTTTTGAAGAAAAACTTCTCAAAAAGAATACATTTGAATTGATTTGTTAAAACAGCCACCATCCCCACCCCAACTCCCCCCGCAACTCCCAACAATCCTATTCGAGAAACAGATCTGCTGAAGCACTTCTGCAAATGTTTTAGTTATTCCCTTTCCTTTGAATCATGTAAACATGAAGTATTTCCTGGTTGGGAAGGGGAATAGGGGGACCTGATGACATGACTTAACTTAAACAATGTTGCCAAAGAGATGGTCTCTTTGCTGAAAATGGGTTTCAAAAGATCTATTTTTATAATAAAAAAGGAGAATTTTTACAGGATCTGGATTTGAAAAAAAATATTTTGACTGGCAAATATGGGGGATAAAGGACAACTTTGTCAAGTTCATACTGTACTGGTACTTTTTAGGATCAAAATGTATGTTTTAAATTGGGATGTAGGTTGTTTTTTTGAACGATGGGAAAAAACAGATGATCATATCTTTCGTAGAGTAATAATTGGGAGCGATCTCCCCAGGCACACAGTTCCCCACAGTCAAAACCCAAAAGCAAGGAGATTAGTTGCTAGAAAGTTTTTTTAAAGTCATCAGTAACAGCCGGGCAATATCATTAAAATTAAAGTTTTTTCCTAAAATAAATATCAAAACTTCCTTTGTCGAAGCAGTAGGTAGGTGCTAATGAAATTGCATATCTTTAAACTCTAGGTATGAACATACGCATTACTTGTTTATCTGAACTGTTGTTACTTGTTTGTGTTGGATTTGTTGACAACTTTGATTCCATTGTAGTCCTTAATATTCCATTTTGACAGACAGGACACTATTGATATTGTTTCATTCAATCATTTATTTATTTTATTGCTGATCTGATGCATTTGCCAAATTAAATTTAGCTAGTTAGTTATTTGTTTATTTTATCTATTGAAAAATGTTTCTTAAGTTTGTGTCATGTATATAAAGATTGATTTGTTTTTATTTATAAATTGTATGAACTTGGTTGTTTTGTTAATATGGCAAAATGGTTCCAGGCGATACTAAGTGAGACTTAAGTATCTAAGTATTTACTTGTGCAGAAATAACAAATATTGTTTAATATATTGTCATGTTGGTTGTGAATATTTTTTCTTCATATTAGGGATGGGCAGGTTGCTTTTATTTTCCATTATGCAGAGAGGAAAATTGAGCTACGGGAACAAAATGGCTGAGGGAGGGCTCTCCTTAGTCCAAGTGCACTGATAACTTTAGTATGTTGTGCTTTGTAAGAGTAAAAAGGTCATGCTCTTCCTTGGGTACTAGAAAAGTTACTCGCTATGCATAATATAGTTGATAGTTAAATTTGCTATTGCTTTTGTCTTGTTAACCTTTTCAATAACGTTGTCTTAATGGTATTGTTGTTATGGTTAATGTGCTTATTTTGTGCATTTTTCATGCTAAACCCACTAACTGCATGTAAAGGAATAATTTTACATTGAAGGTGGACTTATAGTGAGCAAGTATGTAAGAATGCATCATATAACTTTTCACTAAAAATGCTAGACTAGAACCCTCATGCAATGTTCAGGGATTGTACTATATTACCATCTGCTGTGAATGAGCTGAATTGCTGGGAGAGTTTGCTGCATTTACTGAGCATTAGTGGGGAAGGCATGTAAAATTTTCTCTACAATGTGTTTGTTTCATTGGGATATTTCTAGGACCAGACAGTAAAATATACACTTCAATAATTATGAATGACTTAATGTTAGCATAGCTAATTTAGATTATTTCTGAAAACAGCTGTAAATGTTTTTTCATAAAACTGTTGTGTTGAATTATTTGTAATTTTAATGTCAAACAATAAACTGGAGTGTGCAGAACTTTATCATCTAGATGCCATTTTTTTTTGTGTTCTCACCTTGTTTCAGCGCCAGATGTGTGGATAATTGTGCCTTAACTGAACCTTATTGACACACTACTGGTAGTTTGGTGGAGTTTTGTAAACCCTTTTCTAAGAAGATTTTAGGATACAATGTAAAGTTAATTACTACTTTGCCTTATTCCTCTCCCTTCCGTATTACAAGGATATTGGCACGATTGCTGGTGTTTAAAGCAGTAAAGAAATTACTGTGATTTTGGGGTCTCATTTCTGTTAGTTTTCTGATTGGAACATTAGGATGTGTTTAAAATTACAATAAGGATCCAAAATGCATTAGTTTCACTACAGCACCATCTCCAATTCCCTTGGGGTATATAGCCGGCTCTCTCTTAGACATGGAATTTCCCTGTGAGTCTGCTGTGCATTGACTCTCTAAATCCCATCTCCAGAGCACAGCTTTTCATATCCTTGCTCCTTGACTATGAGAGTCAAGCAACTCAACAATGGGATTCTTCATCATCTCAAACTTCTACCAAATGCACAGCATTCTCAACCGCGCACACGCTGCTTGGAAAGTCATATCAGCGATCTGCATAGTTCATCAATAGGTAAAGACTCCACTCCAACAATGTTCAAATTATATGTGACTATTGATACCAAATTGTGAAAGTCTACACAACATATTCTGAGAGCTGCTGTGACTCTTACATACTAGAGAATCAGCAAGCCAGGCCTTCGCACATTTCCTGTACATTGTGTCTAGCCTCATTGTTGTTCACATTAAAGTACAGCACCTTTGCTGCTGTGATCAAGGTCCTCAGGCCTTATAGGGATGGCTGTTGGCAGACAAGAGGTAACTTCTTCAAACTTGTCTTATGGCACTTTTACCAAACCGTTGGTATTATGCAGGTCAAAGGGATGACACTGCTCAAGCTTCAACCAGGTCTATATTACACCATAGCTTCCTTAAGATGAGGTTTTCATGTCAGGGCCACTCTGTAGTGTAGCCCAAAAAGTGTGTCCTGCATCATTGCAGTATGCTGACAATGGGATATCCTGGATGCAGACAAAATATGGGAATGACAATAATCTTCTAAGAATGAAGAGACTGAGGGTCAAGAGGAAGATGGTCCAAGGGAGCATGACAGAGCAGTGCATCATTGAGCTTGTAAAACTAGAGACAACCTAATTGAAATCTGCTTCCAAGATGAATGAGCTGGTCTGGACATCATTTATTTTCATTCTGTTGGAGGATGATCAATATAACTGCCTCAAGGGCATCTCCCTGTAAGCTCTTCTTGAGAGAACAATCCCGGTTGCTCCAGTCTCAGCATAACTGAAATTCTTATCACTGGTCTCCTGATAAATATCCTCTACATCCTATCCAAGTTCTTTTCTGTCGTGTCGTGCCTAGAATTGAATGCAATATTCCAGCTGCATTTGCTCCCTTACACCCCATGGACTTGATTTCTGCTAACAAGTCTACACAGGCCTTCAACAGTCAGTAAACGTAGCATCAATTGTAGTTTACAATAGAAATGCTATAATGAAGAAATCTTCCCAGCAGAAGTAAATGGGCCTTTTAAATTAAGTTTGTCCCTCCAGGTCAAACTAAAATGCATTAAAACAGGCCTTTTAATGCAAATTAATTGTTAATTACAGGTTAGGACAGTGAGAGTACTTTTAGTCAGCATTGGAAGGTAGGATGAACAGTGAACATGATCTAAATCTCAGCAAGGAAGGGTGTATTAAATCTGATGTCATTTGGACAATAAATCTTTTGAAATCTACCTAGTTGATGTTGAAATCAAAGTGCCGGGTGGTTTATACCAGAGTATATAAAACTGAAATGGAAATGTAAATGATGACAACTTTTAGAGCATCTCATGAAGGTTAGGATCAATAACTTTTCTGAAATATAGTCAAAGACTTTGCTTCAGTTAATAACAACGAAAACAAATTGCTGGAAAAGCTCAGCAGGTCTGGCAGCATCTGTGAAGAGAAATCAGAGTTAACGTTTTGGGTCAAGTGACCCTTTCTCAGAACTAATGGTAGCTAGGAAAATGTCGATTTATATGCAGAAAATAGAGTGGAGCAAGGGGTTTGGGAATAAACGATAGGTGGGGATAGAGCCCAAAGGAAGAGCAATTGGACAGACAAAGGAGTGGATAACGATCTGGCAAGGAGGGTGTATAGCTATCAGTGGGGACTGTTAGTGACTAACAATGGGTTGTGTATAATAGCAGACTATGAGATAACAAGGCCTGGCATCTGGGGGTTGGAGTAAGGACATGGGCGAGCTCAAGCCCGAAAGTTGTTGAACACGATATTGAATCCAGAAGACTGCAGGGTCCCCAGGTGGAAAATGAGGTGCTGTTCTTCCAGCTTGCGCTGAGCTTCACTGAAGCACTGCAGCAAGCCTGAGGCAGAGATGTTGACCAGGGAATAGGATGGAATGTTGAAGTGGCAGGCAACTGGAAGCTCAGGGTCTATTTTTACCGACGGAATGTGGGTGTTCTACAAAGCAGTCACCCAGTTTATGCTTTGTTTCCCCAATGTAGAGGAGGCCACATTGTGAGCAGTGAATGCGGTAGAGTAGATTGTGTGAAGCACAGGTAAAGCACTGCTTCACCTGGAAGGTGTGCTTGGGCCCTTGAATACTGAGGAGGGAGGAAGTAAATGGACAGGTGTTACACCTTCTGCGGTTGCAGGGGAAGGGGCTGTTGGGGGTGATGTTGGGAGGGAGGAAGAGTAGACCAGAGTGTCCCAGAGGGAACAATCCCTATGTAAGGCTGACAAGGGAGGGGAGTGCGTCTGGTGGTGATATCTCACTGGAGGTGGCGGAAATAGTGGCTAATGATCCTCTGGATGTGGATACTGGTGAAATGGTAGGTAAGGACAAGGCGGCTCCGATTGCTGAACGGAAGATAGTGGCCAAATTGCAGGAGATGGGTCGGATCTGGCTGAGAGCCCTGTCAACAACGATGCTGGAGACTCCTCGGCTGAGGAAGAAGGTGGACATTTCAGAGGCTCTTTTGTCAAAATTGGCATCATCAGAAAAGATGCAATGGAGACAGAGGAACTGGGAGAATGGAATAGAGTCTTTACAGGAAGCAGAGCGTGAGGATGTATAGTCAAGGTAACTGTGGGAGTTTGTGGGTTTGTAGGGATACTGGTGGCCAGCCTACCCCCAGAAATGGAAACAGAGATGTCAAGGAAGGATAGGGAAGAGTCAGAGATGGACCAGGTGAAAGTGAGGGCAGGGTGGAAATTGGAAGCAAAATCGATAAACTTTTCCAATTCCAGATGAGACAGGGAAGCAGCAGCAATGATATCATCCATATATCGGATGAAGAGTTGAGAGTGGGGGCCAGAATAGGATGGAACAAGGAATGTTCCACATACTCCGCAAAGAGACAGGCATAACTCAGGCCAATGCCTGTAGCCATGGCCACCTGTCTGACATGAAGAAAATGAGAGGAGTTAAAAGAGAAATTGTTCAGGTTTCAGTTAATATTAGGCCATAGCAACAATTAAAGTATTTTATCCTCATTATCCAAGCAAATCTGTCTATGGTGACTGAATTTCCTTCAGAAACGTTGTTTACATCTTCAAACATTGCAGAATTGACATTAAATTACTAGGTTTGGAAGTATCAATGGAAACTGATGTTTGATATGACACAAATACCAAAGGGGGAATTTTTACAGAGAAGGGGAGATAGGTTTGCATGCAAACAGGGAGTTAAGTCCCCTGAAATTGACATCCAGTTAGGATCCTGTTGTAACACTAATGTGAAGGTCAGCATTGTTACCATGTTATAATATGATGTTGATGCCTGTGTACCAGTCACTGGTGATTTGTGTAGATTGCTGCCACCAATCTTCCATCCTATGCTAATCTAAATGGCTGTTCTGTGGTGAGAGGATGGGCCATAAATAAGTCACAGCAGAGGAGGCTCTTTTTTTTAAGATAACAGGATGCAGTTTATTAATCTCAGTAACTATGTTCAGCTTACATTAACACTTAGGCATATTAAATATAACAAACAAGCAGTCGTTAAGACATGTACATTCATAAGGGGACTGTGCCCAGCTGTTTACTGCCTGATGCTCCACTTGGTGCGTATGTTGTGTATCAGAGTGGGCAAAGTTTAAGACATTAACTCTTCCATATCCATTAACTTATATAAGCCCTCCCAAACTTTTGCCCCTTAGTTAACCCATTATGTAATGGTATGAATAACAATATTACAGTTACAAATATCCCTTCTCCCTCAAGTCTCTAGCTTCAGAAGTTTAAGCAAACTGGTGATTTGACATTTCTTCCAGAATCCATTTGTTTTGTACTTGAAACATCTACATATCATTGGCTTGAAGATGGTTGCATTTGATGGTGATCTTCAGCTGGAGTGGTTTCTGAACGATTACTGTTATGATGTTTCTCATTGAGTTTGTCCCAGCGAAGCATTAATGGAACATGATTGTGCAGAGAGTCAAATTTCCTGTGGTTCCTCCAGAATATGAACAACGTATGATTGTTGCTGGTCTGACAATCCTTGGACAACAATACCATTTCTGTCGAGGTCCCTTATGCACATCCATTGCTCTTGGATCCAGGTGTAGAAACAGGTATAGTAACACCTATCATAGTGAGTAGCCTGCTGCTATTGATAAGTCTTCTCCCTGTTGGAAGCATTTTTAAAGTCCTTTGGACTAAGGAATCGGAGTTAAATCTTCAGGTTTTCTTCCCATCAGTAGTTCTAATGATGATAAACCACATAAGAGTGAGATAGACCAGAGATTTAACAGAGCTGTATAAATGTCATTTAATTTTCAAAAGGCAGTTGACCATCTGTACCTCATGCACAGCTTGGCTATTTGACTGTAGATATCTTGGTGAGCTGGTTACACATTGAAATCAAAAGTGACTGTAAACTGGCTGAAAGACTTGGCCACATTTAGAGTACTGTGT